GAATCAGAAGGCAGTAGGGTGGGGCAAAGGGCACTAGTACCCATAGCCTAAGAGGAAAACAGGCAGCAGACTAATGACTCATCAATTAAGTAATTAGCTTCCTCTTCACAGGTGCTCCTTTTCTCCCACCACAAGGCTTCATCTGGGCTGTGTTGTCTGGCGTCTTCCGCCGCCCCCCACCTTCAAAGGGCTCAAGGAGCTGGGAGTTATTTCCAGAAGCAGCTGTCTGGCTCTGACAGCCATAATTAAAAGGGCCCAGAGCATCATGTGCATCAGTGTCTCTGTGCTGAAAAATGGCGGTGGGGGCACTTTAACTAAAGCTTGTTGAATGAGTTTTAGTTAGTTCTCTCATCATCATTTTTAAATGTGGGGGACACTGATACTCCTGATGCTGGAGTCTGCTGGAGCTCAGTAAGTATCACGCTCCAGCGCCAATGCACTGAAATTTTACAGTGTGTTGGAGCAGCCTCGGTGTACATGTATAAGTGCCCTAAGATTTTTTCCTAAAATCTTCAAATGCAACAGCTTTATAGAGAGAGCGATTGAATGTGTGTGTGTGTGTACGTGTGTGTAAATAAAATAAAGGGCTTAGTCCAACTGTTTGTCTGTCTGTAATGCTCTTGGAGCACTCTGATTGGTTACTGAAACAACCAATCAGAGTGCTCCAAGAACATTATGGACAGATGGCGGTAGCACACAGGTGATGGTAGCAGAGGTGGCAGTAGCATGGCAGAGTGCCGCCATGATGGCAGGGATGCAGCGGGCGGGTCAGGCCATCACCGCTGGCCTCACCCCCAACCCCCAGCCCTGCTCCTTGGAGGCAGCAGTGGTTGCGGGGTGGTAAGGTAGGGTTAGGGTTAGCAAGCTGCAAGGGGCTGGGGCAGAGCTGCAACTTGCTGCCTGCATGCCCTTGCCTGGAGCATACAGGCTACAGATCGCAGCTCTGCCCCAGCTCTGGGCCACGCTGTCACTGCTGCAAGATCCCAGCCCAGCCCAGGAGGAGCTCCCTGCCCTGACACGCTTCCCGCCAGCGCTGCTGGAGTTGGTTTCCACAGGACTCTGGCCCTGCACTATCACAGTATGGCTGCTGCTGGGGTCTCCATGGAAACAGGCCCCAGCCATGTGGGCAGGGGCTGCTGGGAAATGGAATCTAGCCGCCAGCTGGATCTACCATTTTGCCCATCCCTAGCATACACAATGGGGTCCGGTCTTTCAAAATGTCTCACTTCCCAAATTATGGGCCAAATCTTCAAAAGTACCCAGTACATAATGTATTGAACTCTTAAGAAAATCCCACCACTTCTTATTTTGATGTCTTAAATGGGCCAGAACGTTTGAAAATACTAATGATGGCTGAGCTCATTTGAAAATCTGATCTTTAGGGTACATCTACACAGTGTAATACAGTGATTCCCAGGGACACCTGAGCTACTATTAGAAATGGTATAATGGCATTAGTATTATATTTTGCCTGAGCTAATTAGAGTAGCATGGCTAATTAGGTTGTGGGGAGCTTTGGCCTAATACAGCCGTACCACTTCTCGTACAGCATTGCTTCACACCCTGTAGTGGTTTTAGCGTCTTCACAATAGGGTTTGTTACTTGAGGGAGTATTCATGGCAGATCAGTAACTCCCTTAAATGAAATGTTGACAGATTTAGTCTTAACCAAGTCTGCACTAGACAGGCCCTGCTGTGATGGGATGGATTTGGCAAGGCCCAATTCTATTCAACAAAAGGTTGAAGTTCTTCATATTTGGAATCAGTTAATTGTTTGAACAAATAAAGCCTTGTTCTAAGATACATCCACCAGTTTTCTAATTAGTTAAAGTATACTTGTCAGGTCCCTGGAAATAATGGTTCCAATGTTCGTATTATCTTGTGTTGTAGCCTATTGTTCCTCTGCTAACTGAGGCTGAAATTCTCACAAGCACTTATGTGATTTGCTGCAGCTCCTTTTGTGTATTCACTTGGCTTGTCCTCATTTTAAATGTCATTAGAATTTACTTTCTTTTTAATTGATTTATATATATTACTGTATTGGCCTGATTCAAGCAAGTTTGGCTCCTGGAGCTGTTGGCCCCCCCAAATATCTGATAGATTTCTGGGACCTGTTGCCAAAAGGCTACTTTCCATTCTAAGTACTGTTGCTGCTAGCTGTCTGTAGCAGGAAAGTCTTGTGATGTTTGCTCATGCTGCTGTGCAAATTAATGGCAACATCTAAATTTACTGTAGTTGGCTCAGGATCTGATTGTCCCAAAAGGTGAGTAGTCATTTTTCCAGCTGCCAGAATAAAAATATCAACTTAGAATTTGTTCTTGAGGGGTTGTGGCCTGAGGCCTTGGACTCACCTTGGCAGAGGTGTTTTTTGTTGTTTTCGCTCCCCACCCTCCCAGAGGTCAGTTAAGGAGAAAAGGGATCAGTGACTTGAAAATTAACCTTCTTGCCTACCCTAAGGAAGCTGGTTGAGGAAGGCAGTTTCCCCATCACCTGTCTGTACAGCAGACGGGTAGTCATGGTGTGATTTACAGCTTGGAGGCCTGTGGATGTTGCTTAGCATAACAGGCTTTTAGGGCAGTGGGTGGCAATCTTTTAAGGCTGCTGGCTGGATGGACCCTATGTGGGTCAGAGGCAGGCTGGCAGGTGGGAAGACAGGTGCTAGGGCTCAACTACCACTGCTGCTTTACCATGCAATATCATGTAGACCTGCCAGAGATACTGTTAAACTAGCTAGCTCTGGTACCAGTGACAGACCAACAATAGCAGCTAGAAGCTCTGTGTACGCTAACCACCCAAATATTTACAAAACTTCTTGGGTATGGTTTGCAGCCTGCACTAAGTTCCATTGCTGCCATGGCTAGACTGCTCCTAGTACCTGAGCTAGCTTGGATATATTTGTGGTACACTGGTATATTTGGTGATGGGCACATTTGACAACCTAAGAGTGATAGGCAATAGTCATTGTAATATACTGAATAAAGCTAATGGACTTTTTTGCGTAAGGGACACCAATAAACATTCTTTATTATATTTACAATAATGTGTTTTTTCTCAGTTTGAGTTATTTTTTTCTTGTCTAAATATATACTCCATTTCATTTTGCAGTGTAATAATTTTTGATGCTGAGCAGAAAATCTTCTTACAATGAGTTATTGGAGCCTGGATAAGAGAAGTTGTCTTCAGTACTGCAGACATTTTTTGGTGGACAATGGTGTATTTCATGGTAAGCTTCATACTATTTTTTCTTTTTCTGTTCACATTTCTTATTTGATTCAAACACAATGGACATTTTATAGTTGTACCTAACTGTTGGTAATTATCTCTTCAAAGAGAATTAGCAGGCAGCTCTAAAAAGTAGCTTTAATAATATTTTTTTTAATGTGCTGCAGTTCAGTTTGTATTTGCCAAGATAACAGTGCATACTGATTTGTTATGAAAGCCTTCACTTGGCCTACCCATAATTACAAAATACCCTAATAAAATGTTATTTACTGATAATGTAATTGATGTCATGTTAACATATGAAAGAAAGTTCTGAATTTGAGCTAAAAAAATGGAGAACACATTGTAATTTACTGTTTCCTTCAAGTCTCAATTTATGTTAAAGACAGAGCCTTAAATTCAGGGTTGGTGTTATTTCATTATGTTTACTGGAAACACTTATACCACGTTTGACTTTGGAGAAAATTCTTTGAAATCACTGAAGCACATTCAACTGCATGTTCCCACATATACAAGTGGCTTTTAGGAAGATCTTCCATTAATCACTGGTGTTAATGGAGTTTCCATTTGTGTCAACAGGACCATGAAGAAAGGGAGGAGAATATTTGGTTGGCATAAATAACTGTCCAAATTAAATCTCTCTTCCTTACATAGGCAGCTTTGATTTCTGCCCTCTGTTAAAAAATGTGAAGTTTATGTCTGTTTTAGACGAATTTATGTTTAAGTTATTTTAAATTCATACAATTGAATATTTTTATTATGTAGTGGGAAGTTTCAAAAGAAGTAGCTCAATCAGTTCTTGCTATTTTAAGATGACAGTTATGATTTCTTTTTTATTTTAAATATCAGTATTTTCTTTAGTTCATCTTGCATGCTTCCATTTATCTCTCATTGTGAACAGCATCTGCCTAATAGATAAATTAAGCCATATGCTTAACATACAGGACTCAGTTGCAGGAGGGATAGTGAACTTCAAGGTCCTACCTATATATTCCAACTCTAAATCAAGGCTGTGAACAGATGTGCATTTGAGGAAGTCACCATTCAGCTCCAGTTTGGAGTGCTTCGAATTTGGTACTCTTCAGCAACATACAGAAGTATGGCACCCAACTGTGCCCGCTTGCCAGAGCTCTTCAGAATTGCTACAATGACATGTAATAGCAGTGCCCTCCAGTTGGTAGTAGTGATAGGAGCATCACCCCGCCCCCCAAACTCTCCTCTGCTAATCTTGGTAGCCTATAGAGCCAGAGACTTGTAAGGAATTCTTTTTTCCAACTCTCTGCCTGGATAGCAGAAATCCAAGCAGGTCTGACCAGAAATTTGGTCAGAGGCCAAGAGGCATGCAGGGATTTCTGCTATCCAGGCAGGGGGCTGGAGAGAAAGATTTCCTACATGCCCATCAGGCTCTGGAAGTTGCCGAGGACAGCTGAGTGCACAGGAGAACACTCATTGGCTGTTTGCCCCAGTCCCAGTACCAGCTGTTTGCTCCAGTTTCCCAGGGAGTAAAATACTGTGAGACGGAGAAGAACTGAGCAAGCCCCCTGTCACACTCTGTAGAGCATACAGAAGTTTCAAGAAGTGCTTCGAAATTAAGCAGTTCAAAAAGGCTTTTAATTTTTTCAGAATAATTTGACATGCTTATGGGCTGTGCAAAGCTTTGGTAGCTGATTCAATTCAGAGGAGATTCAGCTTGATTCAGGGAGTGAATCTCTAAATCCAAATTGAGTCGGGAAACCAAGTAAAAGCTCCGAATTGATTCAAACCACCTGGATCGATTCAGAAAAGATTTGGCCGATTCAGACATTCGGCCATAGACTAAACAGGTGACAGCTGCCTCCAGCCGGTAAGTCTGTTAGTCTGTTGGGGTTGGAGGACGGGGGAGGGATTGGGGCTGGGACAAGCTGCCTGGCCGGGGCAGGGGGGCACGTTACTCGGGGAGGGGGTGCGGGATGTGGGTGTGGTAGTGCTGGGAGTGGGGGGTCTGCCCCCTTCCCCGCCGGGGGGGGGGGGGGG